AAGAATGATGGGGGTTCTCCTTACATACTTTGGGCATGTTGCTAGGTGGAAGGGGCTATTCCTTAGAGAGAGAGACATGATGTTGCAAAGGGTGGAAGGTTGGTGAAGGAGAGAAAGACTCTTAACCAGGTGAACTGACCACTGTGACTGCTGCAATGGGCTCTTGTGTATCTGGAAGTTTGAGGATTGCACAGGATAGAGTAGGGTTCTGGAATTTTATTCATAGGGTCGCTGTGAGTCATACTTGACTCAACAGCACCTAAGAACAGCAACAAGCAGGGTAGGTAGTTCGGTAGCCAAGCCAAAGATGCAAGGTTCGAATCCACCAGCTGCAGAGTGGTAGAAAGATTGAAAATCTACTTCCATGCAATTTTCAACCTCTGAAAACCTGCTGGAGGTTCAGCTATGAGTCAGTTCTGATGCAATGGCAGTGAAAGAAGTAACAGAGTGGCAGACGTAGTTTTGAACCTTTAAGCATAGACAAACAGGAGTCATGCCAACATTAACTTCTGTTTTCCCAACTGTAGGTTTCTGGGATGGTCAAAGGGTCTAGGTGTTTTCGTTGTTATGTGCTGTCAAGTTGCTTGCAATTCATAATAACCCTATGTACAACAGCTCTGAACTCTGCTCTATCTTGTGCCAATCTAATCCTCTCTGACACACTAACCCCATTACCCCAGTCATTGAGTCAATCCATCTCATCGTGGCTCTTTCTCTCTTGCGCTGTCCCTCCACCCTCCCAAGCATGATGTTCATCTCCAAGGACTGGTCTCTCCTTTCAACATGTCAAAAGTATGTTAGACGAAGCTTCAGAATCCTTCCCTCCAAGGAGTACTCTGGCTTCACTCTCCCCAGGACGAGCCTATTTGTTCTCCTAGCAGTCAATACTCTTCTCTAGCACCACAGTTCAAAGGCATCAATTCTCCTTCTACCATCCCTAGTCATTGTCCAGCTTTCTGATGATAGCAAGTAATTGTGAAGACCATGGCCTGGATCAGGTGCACTGTATTCTCCAGACTGACATCTTTGCTCTTCAGTACTCTGGAGATGTCCCTGAGTGAAGATTTTTCCAATGCAACTTGTCTTTTGATTTCAAAGAGTATTTATTTATTAATATTTTGGTAAGGTCAAGGAGAAGCAGGGATATGGAGATCAGATGTGTCTTCCCTAAAGTAATGCTCAAGATAAAGTCAATTGAAAAGGCTTCTGAGATTGGTTGGTATGACTTTCCCTGGACGTCACATCCTGCATTCCCTCCTTGTCTCCATTGCCATCTCCAATGCCATGAGTTTGTGTATACTTAGGAGATTTTTTTGGGGAGGAATGAGCAAAACATAGAGAGCTTTGGTGGCCTGGTCTATAGGGTGCCACTGCTAAACTAATTTTTTTGTGTGTCAGTGTTGGTCCAAATCCATTAGTTGCTCCATGGAAGAAGGATGGAATATCTCCTATGCAATTTATAACCTCAGAAAACCCACTACAGGATCAGTTTTGAAATGATTCTGACTCCAAGATAATAAATTTTGACTGTTTACTTTCTTTATTTTACATTACTTTTCTTCTTTAAGTTTTAAACACAGAATGGTTTCCCACAGTTTGGACTAAGGTCTTAGGGAAACAAAGTATGATTATAAAAACAAAGATTTTGGTGTCCTTGTGTACTGTGGAGTTGGAATTGACCCACAGGTGACCCTCCAGTAGATTCTCCGAGGCAATTAATCTCACAGGAGGAGATAGTACAACTTTTTCCAAAGAACTGGCAGTACAGTTTCTTACCACTAGGCCACCACTGCTCTTCTTAGAATCTTGTTAATTCTAAACCTATTTCAAAATTCCAGTCAGTTGGCCAGGTGGTTGTCCTCCAAATTTCTTTGCACAACTTGGTGAGCACATCTAGGGCAGTGTCTGTTGAAATATGTCAATCAGTATTCCATCAATTCCTGGCCAACTCACTGGAAGAGATCCACATTTGTTCCTATTCCAAAGAAGAGTGGTCCGAAAGAGTGCTGAAGTTACCAAACAGTATCACTGATATCACCTGCAAGCAAGATTCTGCTGAACATTATACTAAATTGACTGGAACAGCACATCAACAGAGAACTGTCAGAAGTGCGGGCTGGGTTTAGAAGAGGCCATGGTACCAGAAATAATGTAGCTAATGTCAGGTAGGTCTTGGCTGAATGAAGAGAGTACCAGAGGAATGTCTATCTGTGTTTCTTTGACTATGCAAAGACGTTTATCTGTGTAGATCACAGCACACTGTGGCTGACTCAGAGAAGAATGGGAATCCCAGAAAGTGAGGAATGCCGGGAAATGGTCCATATAGGGAGAATTATACTAATTGCTTGAGCAGTGGTTACTCAAGATAGATGCTGTCCCAGAGGCTTCAGGGTTCAGAGAAATGGTTTGTTATGGAATGTGTGCTTGTGGTCTGTAGCAAAATTCTGTTTCAACTTCCCTTCTGGAAAAAAATTATACTTAGTCCTTGAGAGGAGCAGCTGTATTGTTTCTTCTGTACATGTCCCAGAAAGAGATTTAAACTGGCCTCCCTTCAGTTCAGATTTTTCAGAAGGTAACCTATACAGAACAACATCTTCTCAAAGAAGATGGTTAACAATAATCCGATGTTAACAGTTGACTGAGTTTAAGGCAGTAAAAGTGTGTGGGGGTGGGGATGGGAGGAGACATTAGGGGGTGTGAAGTCCTAAAGTGAGTTATATTCCTCTATCTAAGGGTGGCCTCTTAAGAGCAACTTTGAAATGTTGTTGTTGCTGTTGTTGTTATGTGCCCTCACCGATGCACAACAGCCCTAAACCCTGCGCTATACCGTGCCAATCTTAGTGTCTCCGACACACCTATCCATATTACAATAATGAAGATAGAAATTCACGTAAGGACAGTGTATTGGTGAGGCTCATACTCCCTGGCTGTAAAATGGGAGAAGTCTAAGAATCCTTCTTGTCATTTTTTTTTAAAAGAAGAGGACTGTCTTTGTCCTGTGTAAATGTTAATGAAGAATGTCTACAGAATATACTTGAATCAAGGTGTTCTCCGCTCCCCCACCCCATAGCACAGTTTTAAAATTATAAACCAAGATTATTATGAAAATAAACTTTATTGATTTTTTGGGTGAAAAATGCAATACTGACAACAAAAATATTTAAGTCACATTTACTTACGTACATTATAAAGTGAAAATTTTCAATACTTTCCTACTTTTCAAAGAACACAAGCTTTTTGATATAGTATGATTATCAAAGGTAATAATATAATACTTTGAGTGGAGGTGTTGCTTTATGAAATGAAACTTTGTTTTTAAAAGCATATATTCGCTACTAACTCAGTAAAGGACATATAATTGCAGTTGTTGAACTAAGACTGATTTAAAAATTATAAACCTGCTGAAAATAGAAATTAAAAAAATTATGAACCTGTAATATTTGCAAGATTTTGTATACATTTGCCCTGATTGTAGTAGTTAAGCATCGTAACCTTAATATTGCTGATTAAATTATTCATGTCTTAATGAATGCATTACTTTCCTATTGCTGGTGTGCTAAATTATCTAATTTAGAAGCTTAAATAGAAACAAGTTTAATATTGTACAGGTCAGAAGTGGTTCAGAAGTCAAACACAAGTAGGACCGAGTTACAATCAGGATATTGGTAAGGCTACATTCCTTTCTGGAAACTCAGAAATAATCCACTACTTTGACTCATGCCCTTCTCTTTCTAAATACCCCTCAAGATGGATCTTTGCCTTTCTATTGATTCTTTCTTTGACTTTTAAGAATCAGCAACCTGGAATCCCCTGGAATCCACTTGGTGGCAATTGCAACTTGTTTGTTTTCTTGCATGTTGAGTCTGATAGCTAGGGATAAGGAGCTTTGCTGCCAACTCAAAGGCAATTTGGTTTCACTCTGAGGGAGGCAGATGGACAATCAGCTATGGGTTAGTTCTGACTTGCTACACAACAGCACAAAAATGGAGAGTTGGAAAAAACGCAGAATAGCTTTATTTTAAACTAGCTATATCTGCAAGTTTAATGCCATATGCAAACTTCATTCCCCTTTGCCATGTAACCTATAATATATTCATAGGTTCCAAGATGTAAGACTTGGGCATATTTCACGTGATATCTTTCTGTCTAATGTTAACCCTCTAATACTAAAGTAAAATCACAATGTTGCTTCATACATGTCTGTGCCAATAAATAGAAACATTACAGCTCCTTAACTCTGAGAGAGTGGGCGGCTCTGAAAAGAGCCTTTGGGCTTGGGTAGAGGTGGTGGTTGTTCAGCTTACTTGGAGCTGGTGTACTTGGTGACGGCCTTAGTTCCCTCAGACACGGCGTGCTTGGCCAGCTCCCCGGGTAGCAGCAAGCGCACGGCAGTCTGGATCTCCCGCGATGTGATGGTGGAGCGCTTGTTGTAATGCGCCAGGCGGGACGCCTCGCCGGCGATGCGCTCGAAGATGTCGTTGACGAAGGAGTTCATGATGCCCATGGCCTTAGAGGAGATTCCGGTGTCGGGGTGGACCTGCTTCAGCACCTTGTACACGTACACGGAGTAGCTCTCCTTGCGGCTGCGCTTGCGCTTCTTACCGTCCTTCTTCTGAGCCTTGGTGACTGCCTTCTTGGAGCCCTTCTTCGGGGCGGGAGCGGACTTAGCAGGCTCAGGCATGACTGCTGAAGTCTAGTTTCTTCAAGAGAAGTAAAACTACGCAAGTTGTCTCTTTAACCCACTTAATTTTGTAGAGTTCCTATGCAAATAGGGTATAGAAGGGTTTCCAATTTGATTGGTTAATAGCCTAACGTGATAGGGTTGTATGCAAAACAGGGGACTTCAAGTGTTTAATTTAATTGGCTATAGGTTTTACCCAATCAAATGGCGTAATTTTCAATCCTACTTGTTAGTATAAGAGCTCAGAATTTTTTTCTCTGTGCCCATACCCAGTGCTTCTCTCTTGAGTAGCTTGGTTCTCTTCTCTTAGCTGTTTAACATGTCTGGACGTGGTAAGCAGGGTGGTAAAGCTCGCGCCAAGGCGAAGACTCGATCTTCTCGTGCTGGGCTTCAGTTTCCTGTAGGTCGTGTCCATCGTCTTCTCCGTAAGGGCAACTATTCTGAGCGGGTAGGTGCTGGAGCTCCAGTTTACTTAGCAGCTGTGCTGGAGTACTTAACTGCGGAAATTTTGGAGTTGGCTGGCAATGCTGCTCGGGACAACAAGAAGACCCGCATCATTCCCCGCCATTTGCAGCTCGCCATCCGTAATGATGAGGAACTTAACAAGCTGCTGGGGAAAGTCACCATCGCGCAGGGTGGCGTCCTGCCCAACATTCAGGCTGTCCTGCTCCCCAAGAAGACCGAGAGCCACCACAAGGCCAAGGGCAAATAAGTGAACCTTCAGCCATTCCCATCTTTAAGCCAAAGGCTCTTTTCAGAGCCACCCACACAATCATTAAAAGGGCTAACATTTCTTCACGTGCATTGGTTGCGGCTATCAAAAAGATTGAGAATATACAGATACCTTGGGAAGATGCCAGTTGCCCTCCCCTTAACGCCTCCGAGATTTTGGATTAGCGGCGCAACTGCTGATAATTTCAGCAGAACTTCTGGAAAAAGCCATGTGCTTTGGAGTAACCCGAGATTCATAAACTGACCTTGCAGCTGGTTTTCAGATGGTAATACTTTATACAGGTAAATGGGTCTGAACCCATTGGGAACATTTTAGTATAAAGTGACAAGTTTATGCAGCTATTTCGAATTATCTAATTAATAGTGGTAGATCTTAAAAGTTTATATTTAAAACGATCTATATCTAAAAGTTCCCCTCCATTGACATGAAGAGCCTTACGCGAATGAGTTAAAAACCCTTTAGCCAATCACATTTTAGCGCGCGACTTTTAAAAAATTTATCAGGAGAAAATATTTTTCGGGGGTTAAATAAAAAATATTTTATTCAGTAGAAGCATAATCTTAACAATTTAGGTCAAGATCTAAGGAGAAAAGCCAGAGAACATTGCAAATATACGACTTAACGATGAGAAATTACTAAAGTTTAGGTAACAAATGGTTAAGGAGGAGGGGCTGAGGAAGACAAGTTTGGATTAAATGCCAAGCTCTTAGGGGGCACGTCATCGCTCTTCATAGAAAGGCACCCGGGAAATGCTTAATCCCAAACAGAACTAGATTCCTTTATGTACATTCAGGAAGTGGCTGGATTCCATTTCCGTAATCAAAGTGGTTCAGGGAGTTTGTAATGGCTCATATTATGAGGACAATTTCGGCTGCAAATCCACTGGCAGCAAGGCGCTGCACAAGGAATGGCCACCAAGGCAGCCCAGCAAGCGATGGCATCAAGCCCCACCGCTACCGGCCCGGCACCGTGGCGCTGAGCGAAATCCGGCGCTACCAGAAGTCCACAGAGCTGCTGATCCGCAAGCTGCCCTTCCAGCGGCTGGTGCGTGAGATCGCCCAGGACTTCAAGACCGACCTGCGCTTCCAGAGCTCGGCCGTCATGGCGCTGCAGGAGGCGTGGGAGGCCTACCTGGTGGGGCTCTTAAAAGAATACCAATCAGTGGGGCATCCACACCGAACACGTAACCACCAGGCCCTAAGTTAGCTCGCTTGCAGCATCAGCTGTCCTCTCAAGTGTATTCAGTCTCACAGCCAACCACCCTTTCTTTAAATAATTACGAACCTAGCCTCAACTAGCAACCCCCTTGCCCAGCCACCCGTGTTAAGAGCTCTTTTCAGGATAAATTGGGTGGCTCTGAAAAGAGCCTTTTAAAAGCAGTTTTGAGTCGCTTACTTCTTCTTGGGGGCTGCCTTCTTGGGCTTGCTTGGTTTTGGCTTGGCTGCCTTGGGCTTAGGGGCCTTGCCTTTAGCTGGACTCTTGGCCGCCTTCTTGGGTTTCGCTGCCTTTGCCTTCTTCGGACTTTTGGCCACTTTCTTTACCCCTCCAGCAGTGGGCTTCTTTGCCTTCTTAGGGGTTTTCTTTGTACTCTTCTTAGGGGTGGCTGCAGTTACCTTCTTAGGCTTCTTTGCGCCCGCAGGTTTTTTAGCCTTGGCTGCGCCGGCTTTCTTGGCTTTGGGCTTGGCCTCACCGGAACCTGCCTTCTTGTTGAGCTTGAAGGAGCCAGAGGCGCCGGTGCCCTTGGTCTGGACCAGAGTGCCCTTGCTCACCAGACTCTTCAGACCCAGCTTGATGCGACTGTTGTTTTTCTCCACATCATAGCCGGCAGCAGCCAGGGCTTTCTTGAGCGCAGCCAGAGACACGCCGCTGCGTTCCTTGGAAGCGGCCACCGCCTTGGTGATGAGCTCGGACACCGGGGGCCCAGACGCCTTGCGCTTCCCAGCGCCTGCAGACTTGCGGGCCTTCTTCTTGACTGGCGTCTTCTCAGCGGGGGAGGCTGTAGCAGGAGCGGCAGGTGCAGTTTCCGACATAGTTGTAGATATTACTAACTAGCTGCTTTCTTTAAAAAAAAAAGTCTCAGAGTTGAGCAGCCAGGCCGGCACTGAGTGTGTGTATATATAGACGGCGGCGCCGCGCGCTGATTGGCTCCCAGCTCAATCTTCCAGCTTGGCAGCAACCTAGGCTCAGCTCTGTCCCGGAATTGTGTTTGTTACAATTCGGGAAAGCAAAAAATTAAAAATTCCCGTGTAGGAATCACTCCAATTCTGTGCCTAGATGATATGAGACAGCTCAGGCTTTGAGATCTTCGTATTTTCTCTCTCCGATTTCCAGCCTGTGGCCGTCAGTTGTTTTCAAAAGCCCCTGTCTCCGTGAGAGATTCAAAGGTCAGAGAGCCAACTTCTTGATTTTCGTTTAAAATATAAATTCTCCCCTTGGTGTCTGCAAATGCTTACTCTCCAATCACGTTCTATACATTCTTGGCTTTCCACACGCTCAACAACTGCTTGTATATCTTTGAGATTTAAACAGAAAATCTATTTCATATGAGGAGAAGTAACACAGGCTCTTTCCGGATTTCTCGAAATGAACAACACTGGAAGACTCCCATGGTAGCGACCCTTTCTGCCCCCCAATATCATGATTTTCCTCGGAAACAGCATTATTAAAGTTTCTTGTGACTATTTGGAGGGTCCATTGATTCTGAGGTTGAAATAACCAACATTCTTTGGTTAAATCAGGCAATTGCCATGATCAGTTCATCATCCTGACATGCTAGCCTGGCCTGCCTTGCAATAGTTGATCACAGAGGATATGAAGAAAGAAGCATTAAAACGGAAAGATTCTGATCTCTCTTTATATGTTAAACATTTTTTAAAAACTGCCTTTGGTTTTGCTGCTACCATTATTACAAATGTTTATGAGCTTGTGGGGACAGAAGGGTGCCATACTTGAGGAAGATAAACTGGCCAAGTATGAAGGCTGCAGAAACAAGCAATATACATAAATATGTTTTAAAATAGATATGCATGCATATATAAAATATATATGTATGTATGTATATATACTGAAGAACAATTCCATCTTATGTTTAGTACTACATTCTTTTTTATTTAAACAAGAATATAAATTTGCAGAAATGTCATTGTATCACATGCTTAAAGTGAAAATATAAACCCACTATTATTCTTTACTCTGCATTTAATACATTGTATGTTTATTTTGAAGTATAGATAAATCTGTGTTTCAGTAGAACTATGGAAGAATGAGAATTTAACACAAAAGAAAGCAAAGCACAAAGCACAAGTGTGGAGAAATTCGCTCTTCTTGATTGCATCCAAGGTGACAAATGATTAATTACTTCATTGTAGTACACTCACTTCAGACATACATGTTATTATGCCAGAACCCTCTGGTAGATTTACAGAGGCAGTGAAGCACATACAAGTAGTTTGCCTATATTTTTGAGAGAGCTCTGGTGGCCTAATGGTAAGGAGGTGAGTTGCCCCTACAAAGGCTCATGTTTCTAATCTACTACCAGTTGCTCCACTGGAGAAAGATGGGTAATCTCCTCTTGTGCAATTTCTATTGCTTCTGAAAACCTATTAGAGAGTCAAGGGCTGCTATAACTTGATTCTGACTTGACATTAACAACAGTTGTGTAATATTAAATAAAGTAATGTTTACTTTGAATATGTATTCAGCTACCATGAAACTTATGATTTTTTAATTTTTTTTTAAATGACAATTTTCAATCTCTGGTTGGTTTTCTGTGTGCATTGACAAAAGGAGAATGGTTTCCTAACCATTTAGATGCAATTATTCTGCAAGAGACTGCCTTATTTATCTGCAGGGTTTAGTGACTTTGCCATCAGGAGTTTCCTCTTGCTTACATGTCAAACTTTCATTTTTCAAGTGCTTGCTAGATAACTATGTAACATCTGTCTACATATTTGAAACAGGACCAAACTTAGCTTAGTAACTTTCAATCAAAAGTTAACCTTTCGTGCTCACTTTAGCAGCACATATACAAAAGTTAACCTTCCAATTGTCATCTTTAAAATGTTGTCAACATCATCACCACTCATGCTATCGCGAAAATGCTACCTCCTTCCAAATTTAGGTCTGCCATCAAGATTGGTGGTTTCCTCCTCCCTAATTGATCTCTCTTTTACTTCCCCCAAGGTGATTGTAAATCTACATTTTCTGAATCTCATTGAGACTGGTTTATCTCATAGCGTCCCATTGGGCCTTTCTTTCCTCTTGTTTCTCTCTGTGTTCTAATTAATTCTTTTTATTGATCTCTGTGAAATGTTCTTTAAATCTTTTTAGTTTTATTTGGTCAATCTTCTTACAGCTTTCTAAATTTTAGAATAAGCTCTTTAGTACACATTCATGTATTATATTATTACTACTCTTGAATATGGCATCATGATTGGAGTAAGACAAAGATTCTCACCATTGGGCCAATGGGTAGAACCATGATAGATGGAAAATCGATTGAAATTATTAGCAGTTTCAGCTTACTTGGCTCCACAGTCTATAATCTTGGTATGAGCAGTACAGAAACCATAAGATAAATTTCATTAAGGAAATCTGCTGTCAGGGACTTCTCTAAAGTGCTAAAGAGCAACGTTATCAGTATAGAAACTAAGGTGTGCCTGATTCAAGCCACAGTCTTTGCAATTACTTGCTTTGCATTGGAGAGCTGGACAATGAATGAGGATGATAGAAGAAGAATTGATGCCTTTGAGTTGTGGTGCTGGAGAAGAGTGTTGAATGTACCATGGACCGCCAAGAAAACAAACAGGTCTGTCCTAGAGAAGGTGAAATCAAGCTGCTCCTTGGATGCAAGGATTTTGAGACCCTATCTTGTATTCTTTGGGCATGTAGCCAGGAGGGACCAGTCCTTGGAGAAGGAGTTCGTGCTCAGAAGGGTAGAGAGGAAGACCCTGGATGAGATAGAGTGATTCAGTGACTGGGGTTATGGGGGAGGTGTGCCAGAGACAGTGAGAGTGTCTCCAGGATAGGGCAAGGTTCAGAGATACTCTACTTAGGGTCATTATGAGTCACAGGCAACTGGATGACATATAACAACAACAACCAAATTGATTTTCCTTGAAACATTAAACTTCTAGAAATCATACAAATTTTGCAAACACATTGATCTGTATTTGAACACAGTTCTGCAGTTTGCATGGTCTTGGCAGAATCACCCAACATTATCTTTTCCCTTTTCTTATCTTTTACCCCATTATCATGTCAGAGTATACTTTAAACTAACCCTTGAAATGTTCCCTATCTCTTAAGTGACATTTCCTTCTCTTTTGGACTGCTAAGTTATTTCATTAATATCTCTCACAGTTTAATAGTCACCATCATCTACTTCATGCTATTTCTATCATTGTTCTTTATAGCTATTGTTTAGTTGGCCCTGACCCATGAAGAGTCAACATAATAAGTCAGTTTGAAAATTGTTGAAACATGTTTAGCATGATGTTATTGTTGCTTGCCTTCAAGTTGAGCATGACTCATAGCGACCCTATGAACAAAAGGCCCGAAGCCTTTCAGTAACTGTAGACATTTATCACAGTTCATAGAGTTTCCAGAGGCATGTTTTTAGGAAGTAGATGCCACTCTTGCTTCCAATTAGCATGATAGCAACATGGAAATATTTATTGACAAACAAGCTATTAAGGTGGCTGTGTTTGAGGAGTGTTTGCTCAGAGTCAAGCCACCTCCTTTTCTGGTGGCCTAGTGGCAAGAAGCTGCACTGCAACCCCGGAGGTATGCTGTGCGAATCCACCAGATACTCTGCTGAAGAAGGAGGGGCAATCTCCTCCTGTACCAGTCAGATCCGATTTGACAGTACACACACAAAAATAAAACAAACAAAAACCACCTGCATTGATCCCTTCATGTTATCTGCATATTTATACACTTTAAATCTGTGGAATTGGTCTTACAGGTACAATGTATAGTCTTTTATATGACCACTTGCACATTCTTTAGACTGTCCGTGTAGACCTGGCACTGTCCTGAATCTCATTCCATTGCTTTATTTTTGTCGTCTTGGCTATTACCCAGATGACTGCTTTTCTGCACCACCATGTTCTACTCAGTACTGTTGGCATGTTTGATGCTTCTATCTAATTTTCAATTAAGAGCTCCACCAAGTTGGATAAGGGAATAGTCATCATTGAAGTTGTAGAGCAGTTATAAGAGGCTTGCTCCAATTTCTATGAGCTGCATGAGTAACTAATATGATACTTCTTTTTAGAGTGGATCAGAACAGAGATTTTATGTATCAGCAACTATCTTCCAATTTAATTTTAAATAAAGTAAACTGATACTATTACATTTTCTGTTTCTTTTCACATATTGGGTAAATGAAACAATTATGCCAACAAAAAAAAAATCACTC